AAACATGCAGTGTCACTTGTCCGTTCAAGAAATTTCTTATTTTCAGTGAAGACCCCGAGTTTATGCAATCGTACTTTACGTTGAAGAAGTGCATCTACGCATTTTGCTCCACGAAATACATCAGATAATCGCCAGTTCTTTTTCAATTCATCCTCGAGATCTTTTTCTAGAATTTCGATTTGGTCATTGATTTGTAATCGTGTATTAGAATCACTTTCATGTTGTAAGTTTGACTGGAGTAGTTGAATTTTATGATGAATGGATGTCACAATCGATTCCTTAACATTGATCAAACTATCAATAAAGACAATTTTGGTAATGTCCATATAGAAGTTCAAAATTTTGCCAATTCCAAGGAGAATAATGTGTTGGAATTAAGAGAAGATTATCTGGAAATACCTTTTCTACTTTAGAAACTAGAAGCTTATTGTTGAGAATCTTCAATAGCATGAAGGGCATATTAATGGTGTACGAATCACCTTCCAAGCAAGAGAGATAGATCAAACCAGCTCGCTCAAGTTCGCCAATAGAAGTACGGCTGGGTAATCGGAAATCTCTGTTAATAGGTTGACCAGTAAGCCCAAATAAAATTATAGTACGTATATCATAAAAGCTTTTCCAATCGCCAGGCTTATCTCCAACCGTAGCTACAGCCCGACTTGACATTTGAGCAAAAAGTTGATTCCCCCAATCAAGATCTGACTTGAGAACAGGATGATTCAAGAGATCATCAATGAACTTTGGAATGAAACCAGTGTCAAAAATCGCTGTGCGAAAGTGTTGCTGATTCAGAACAAAGTTGCAAAACTCTGATGAAAGACTTTCAAAGTCTTTATTATTAAGATCAGACGAATAGTGTAATTTGAGGCCTTGAATCACAATATTTCTTCCAATTTCAGTTGTCTGCCTCGAATATTCATACTTGTCAAGAAACATTGACTTTGCTGAGTCATAATTCAAAGGATTGAGCTCCAACAATTTTTGAGTATACTCGGTAGGTAAAAAATGAATGTCAATGGCAGAAGTCCCCGTACAGATCGGAATAATAAAGTATTTCCCTCTAAGGTCGTGAAAAAGAAGT